CTAATCTGTATGTATCTGATTATTACTAGTCATAATCAGTTGCACTTGGATCCTTGGCACCTGTGCATGTTTTGGTTTAAAATAACACTCTAAGACTTCCTGGGGGATTTCATGATTAAATTATGCTTTTTGTTCATGAAAATTTCTTTTTTAAAGAAAAAAATGCATTGGCATTGGAAAAAATGTACATTTGTGTTTTTTTTTCTTATAGGAGAATGAAGTTCACTTTTGAAATGGTTTCTTTTTTTTTTTTAGAAAACAGTGTTGCTTTTCAGGACTCATATTAATTTTTTTCTTTTATTTACTTATTTTTATTGTATATGAATGTGTATGTGTATTTAATGCATGCATGTATGTAAGTGCTCCATGTATATGCAATGCCCTTGGAAGACAGAAGAGGATGTCAGATCCCCTGGACTGGTATTATGGATGGTTGTTAACCACCATATGGGTGCTGGGAATTGAACCCAGGTCCTCTGCAAGAGCAGTCAGTGCTCTTAACCGCTGAGCCATCTCTCCAGCCCCCAGGACTTCAATTTTGTATTACATTAATTAATTAATTAATTAATTAGCGTGTGTGTGTGTGTGTGTGTGTGTGTGTGTGTACGGTGCTTGTATGGAGGGCAGAAGGCAATGTGCAGGAATGAGTTTTTTCCTTTCCCATGTGTGGCTTGGGGATTGAACTCAGCTTGTCAGGCTTGGCAGCAAGTGCTTTTACCCACTGAGCCAACTCAGCAGCCTGCTTTTGAAAGTTTCTATATAGTCTTAGGTTTCACAGAATGATCTTACTTGAATTGATCTTACTTACTTTTCATGTTTTTCTCTTTAAACCAACACAGGTCACCTCCTTAAGTTTAAAACTTCAGAAACTTCAAGAAAAAGCCATTGACGATGGTGATTATGATAAGGGTGAGTTTGGATCTGTGTATTGATTATTTCCTCTTTCTCCCCAACATCCTGTCTTCTTTCTCGGAATCCTGGCCTATTATATCCTTTACCTCTAGGTGCTGTGCATTTGGCTCTGCTGAGTGTCTCTGCTCAGAGACAGGTTGGCCTGTGGCTGTGTTGGTCTATAAATTTCAAAGCATGTTTGGAGCATCAACCTTTAGGTCCTAAATTGAACTTTATTTATTGTCCAGAAACAGGTGGAGGGAGTATTTGCATGTTGCTACATCAGCCTGTCACCTGATGCCTGTAATTTGCTCATTCATACTTGCTGAGCACACATGTGCCATGCAATAGGGAAGAAGATCTGATACTGTTTTGTCCCTGTGGTTCTGGAAACACCCCCAGGATGGGGTCTGTAGCTTCATGCTCTTCAGAACCAGATACAGACCTGGATGAACTCAGGGGATGTCAGGTGTTGCCAAAGAAATCAGGACTTTACATCACACGTATGTGGTCAGAAACACCCAGATAGGAAGGAAAAATTGTAACACGAGGCTAGTAGAGAGTGGAGTTGGTCAGAGGCCAACAAGGCACGATAGCAGGGGTTGGACCAGAAAGAACTGGGCTGGACACAGTGGAGTGAGTGAGGAAGCTGTCAGGTGTGGCTGGCCCGAGAGGAGTCTTATGGACTAGAAATGCGGATTACTAGATGTCATGTCAATTTCTGCTGGGTATAGGGAAGGAGGAGGGCTTACAATGACTTGGAGTTCTCCAGACACCCGTGGGCCTGAGACGCTCTTACTGGTGGTCTGGAGACCTCCTATAGATGCTCTTGGTGGTGGCCTGGTTTAGGCTCCTGGATGGAGCCTTGATGGACAGGTGGACTGCCTGGGATAGACATCCTATACAGGTGAAGAAGTAGATGCCTGCTATCATCCAATCCTGGAATGAATCTTTAAAACAATTTTTAAAAATTGTTTATTTTTCAATATATATACTGGTGGTCTGGAGACCTCCTATAGATGCTCTTGGTGGTGGCCTGGTTTAGGCTCCTGGATGGAGCCTTGATGGACAGGTGGACTGCCTGGGATAGACATCCTATACAGGTGAAGAAGTAGATGCCTGCTATCATCCAATCCTGGAATGAATCTTTA